TATGGTTGAAAATTTTGATATTACTGTAGCTAATATTTCTCAAATAACACATCCTGTAAATGATATGCAAGCAAAATAGAACTTATGTGATATATTTACAGATAATTTAGAATTTCCTAATTATTTAGAAAGTTTTATAGCAGGAGAAAGTTAATAAATAAAATAAAATTTTTGGATTCGATACATAAATATATCATGTAATTTTTATGCATTTTTATTGGTTAATAAATTACTTGGCAATTGGACTAAGTCCAATTGTATAATTATATATTTGGACTATTTGGACTATATCAATTGTCCAATTGTCCAATTGGTTCAATTGACAACACTGATTAAAGATGTTAAAATTTCTTCTGTTGATCCTAACTGAAGTAGCCATTCAAAATATAAATAGAAAATCAAACTATTCAGAATTTTATATTATATCATCTTTAAGAGATTTTTACATATATGTTTTCATTAATAAAAAGTTAAAAATCTTTTTAAAACTATAAATACCTCATTATCAATAAGATTTTTATTACTTCTATTTGGTTTTATTTCTCATATCTTTGTATTTCTTTATAATAATACTATTGTTTTTAGTAATATAAATATTATAGTGATTGATGATCTTACTTAACTTTCTTTTATAAGTAGATAATATATATTTTGAATTATTACTTGAATTTTATTTTATTAAAAATCTTATAATGTTAGCAGGTAGACATAAGATTTTTTCACATGTTAGAAGAAATTTATATGAGCAATATCTCAGAAAATACCTGAAATATATTATAGCAATACTATTTAGAATTATTATTTTATTCTGCAATTGATGTACTTATTAATACTACAAATATGCTTTCTGTTTTACATAATCATTTTTATATCTTATAAAATCAATTTATTAGTTCTACAGGTTGGGTTTCCTCTTTATTTAATAAAATGTTCAAAATAAAAACAAATCTTCTCTTGAATGTACGTTTGCAACCAGTTACCTGTATCATATACCTTAATAATTTGTTGATTGATCAAATACTATAGGTATAATTATAGATGTAGATATGGCAAATGAATGTATTCATATTACCTTCTCAGTTTAAGGTTTTATAATTGATGTTGACGTTTACAAACAAACTCATTACTTTAATATAATAAAAATAATTGCTTCTGCTTACAGATTTCCTTACAGAATTCATTTACCTTGACAATTTATAAAACTCAAGGGTTAATCCTACCAAGGGTCTTCTTCACATTGAATTAAAACATCTTTGCTCCTGATCAGGCTTATGTTGCATTTAGCAGGTGCTCTACTTGAAATATGTTAAGATATCTCATTTTGACAAATCAGCTTTCATGACCGATCCTGAAGTTATTCTGGAGTACCAAAGATTGGCTACCATTTCAGAGACAGACCTTCATACATTTTCTCAACTTCTTACACAATTTAATTAGATAAAATTAACAAAAGAAAGATAGTATTTATTTAAATTAAGATATGCATAATTTACATTGTAACTGAATGATCAAGTATAAAATAAATAAAACAATAAAATGTCGGAAAAAAATAAAACAATTTGCCAAAATCAAGTAAATTCATTAAATAAATAACCTTTATTTAAATTACAAGAATAAAAAAAATTTAATAAATGCTGCAACTCGTATGTGATACAACCAAAATCATATGAATCTTGTGATTGCACCAATGGCCGGTGGATACTGAAAATAATGTACTGGCTGCTAGTTATAATCAATTTCGGAAACTGGAGTACATATCGACTCAATTTTGAGTGGGATATTTTCGTCATAGAGAAGAATAAAAAAAGTAAAAAAATGCATTTCATGAAAGTGTTTTTAACTTTCTGAAACAAAACGTAACTTTGACAGTATATAGCAGAAAAGAAGGAACTGTGCAACAATGAAAAAATTTGAATACGAAATTTGTATTCAGGCTTTAGAACCTCTCAAAAAATTTACCGCTATAGCCGGTTGATCTTAAAAACAAAACATCAATAATATTGTACCAAAAACATTTTTTTAACCTTCCATCATTCTATGTAGAATAAAGAAGATCACAGTATGTATAAGATAACGAATGAGTTACAAACTGGAATTACAAATCTGCAATTTATTATCTTTAAAAAAAAAAACAATATAAACAAATACCTTAACATGTAACACATCTTTGATTATATTTTGAAGTATGTAAACAACAAATATACATGATAAGGTAAACTTAAAAACAATACATTTTTTAAATTAAAGTATGTATTAGAAAGTGTTACATTTAAATTGGTTGATTATTTTACTTTACCTTCAAATTTAAATTATCATTTAAACGATTTAAATGAGTTAATTAACATATCACTCATATATTATTTTACAGTTGTAAATTTTTATTACTCTAATTATCATATTACAAAAGATCTGGACAAAGTCATAATTGAATAATTAACGATTAATAAATTAAAAAATATTTCTTGTATATTTAACTATTTTATTTCTTTTTTACAAAATTTTGGAAATGATTTGTAGCACAGCAAGGGTAAAACTCATACGACCCATTGATCCAGCAATGAAAAAAGTTTTAAAAATGGTCGATAAAAAAAAAAAAAAAAAAAAAAAAAAAAAAATATCAAAAAAAAAATGAATAAATAAATTTCATCCAAAGTTTCTATAATATAATGTATTATTACGAGTTAATAGACCCCTTAGATAAATGATTTAGATAAGATTACTTTAAAAGTTTAATCTATGCTTATCAAGAAATTAATATTGATTCTCCTGTAAGAAAAAAAAAAATAAAATAAAATAAAATAAAATTTTTTTAGGGGGGGGAAAATAGCTATGGGAAAAGGATCATTTTACAACAATTACATAATTATTGTCCGTGATATACAAATAATCTTTGTAGTATAATAAATTAAATCGGAACGTTTCAGATGACCTTTGTTTTTTAAAAAACATTTCAAAATTCACAATTAAATTATTAGTTATTATAAAATATAAATAATTTTTTTTTATTATATATAGTGTAAAATATAATACAAAAATCTTTGCCAATCCGTTATATTTATAGGGACACTTTTCACTTCATCTTTTCCTCCTTCATTTTATTTATTTTTCTTAAATACATTATATCTCTTTGTCAATTACTAAACATATATATATATATATTAAAAAATGTCTTTATCTGCTGCTCGACAAATTGCCAACCATCATCCTCTTGCTATTCAACCTTTAATCAAAAATTCAAACATGAAAAATATTCCAAACTTTCCTCCTGAAATCATTCGTATAATTCTTAGTTTAATAAAAGATGACAAGAAAACTATTAACACTTGTGCTACTGTAAATCATACGTTTAATCTTCACGCTACACTAATCTTATATCATACCATTCCTTTCTCATTTCCTTACATATTTACTTTATTCGCCAAAGCTATTATCAGCGAATTTCAACGTCCCTGAATGATTCGTCATTTGGATCTTTCTGATTTCTCTACCATGGGCTTACAAAAGAGCGACGCTACAATTCAGACGGTCAATTACCCCTGAAATTCTTTTAAGCATTCTACGATCTTGCACCATGTTGGAGACTTTCTCCGTTTCGGAAATGTTGACATCAACTATCAATCTTGAAGTTTTACAGGTTCTCGTTTTCGAATGTAAGAACATTAAAACTTGGATTTTTGTGGACTTTCGAGCAAACATTTCGGTTCGGTTCTTACCTCCTTAGCAGAATATATGGGTCGTTTAAGATTTATTCAAGATTATGAAGATGATGATAAAAAGGCTGACTTACTCATTCCAAAGTGTAAAAAATGTAGCATTACCAGACCTTCAACGTCTTTCTTTACATAATTGTTCAATCATCTCAGAATATTCTACCATACTTACCCTATTTGCAAACGCACCAAATATCACTCACCTTGATTTGGGTGGTTGTTCCGTTAGTGAGATGACACTTAATGTCCTTGCAACTCAA